GTGGGATAACAAGGGAGAGTGAGGGAGAAGAGAGAGACGTACCTGGTGGAGAGGAGGTCGGCATTGGTGTTGACATCATCACTCGCTGGTCGTCAAGTTGTTTGGTTGCTTCCATGCTGTAGTTGTAGTGATAGGCTGTAGAGTAGGAAGGGCGCCTGGCGCCATTCAAGAGAGAGAGCTACATTGGGTTATGCTGTTGGTGTTGCCCGATTGGGCGTGGACATTGACTCACGATTCTTCTGTATCGTTCTCGAATGGATGGTTACTCGATTCCATTGTGCTATCTGCTCTTGCTTTGACTACTTGGACTTCAGTGTGATTTTGCAATCTGGATTTCTGTGCTTAGTCCACATTCATGTTCCTTGCATCCATATTAGCATCGCATAGTTAGCGAAGGTCAACAGGCCTCAGCAGATTAAAAAAGGAATTAGGATAGGATAACTAGTTGGAAAAGACTAGTACGGTTCGCGGCCTGGTTTTTTAATACCCCTAAGACCAGGGTTGCCGGCGTTCAAGACGGGCCGAACGCCCGATCCCGAACGCCCGAACATACGGGACCCCTTCGGAAGGCGTTCGGCCGTTCGGGCCGAACGCGGACCCAAAAAAAAAAACAAAAGTTTTCAGAAAGTTCCGAAAACAAACTATGTTATGAAGAAAAATAAACTAAACAACAGTTGCCTGGGCACTACATCCAAATTCTTTACCAAATTTGAATAAAAAATCAAATACAGAAAATAAACACTATGATAAAAATAAGAAAAAATAAAAAGAGAATTAAAATGAGTGAGTGTGCCAGCACCTTTTCGACACCGCCATCTTTGTTGATTTTTATTTTTTTTTGGCATTGAAAAATGCACTGAAAGTTTATAGATATGTAGTTTACATAATCAATAACTCATTAAAAATTTTTCAAAAAATAATAAAATGTTTTAGGCCTCGAAATAAAGTGAAAACAAAAAGTTAAGTGGAAAAAAACAAAGTAGTGAGTGGGCGAGCACGTTTTGACACCCCCATCTTTGACGATTTTTAATGGTCTTTTGGCTTAGCAGAATGGCTTCGAAATTTATAGGCGTGTAGGTTACATCATAGAGATCTCACAAAACAAAATTCAGAAAAAAAAACTTATTTTTAGGTCCCGAATTTGTTTTTGGCGGGGGCCGAACCTGGAGGTGTTCGGCCCCCGATGGGACCCTGAACGCCCGAACGTTCGGGGGCCAGCCCGGGGGCCCCCGAACGTTCGGTCAGGTAACCCTGCCTAAAACTACATGAAGGGTTTGGAAAACCCTACATATAGGGTTGTAGGGCTTGGAAAACCCTACACCTATATTTTTTATTTTGGAATCCGACTTCGTTTAAGATTTTTAAAAAATGAAAAACGAAATTCGATTTAAATAAATTATTAAAAAATAAAAAAAAAGAAAAGCATGCATTTTTTTTGTCATTTTTTATCATGAGGGAAATGGTCGTTGAGTTGTCCTGTATTTTTTCAGAAATGTTTTCGGGGTTTGTGTCGGGAAATTGGGTGTTTAAAAAAAAATAAGATGCAAAATTTGAAAACAAATAAAGAAAAAAAGGGGTCAGGCTGGGGTTGGTGTGTGTGTGTGTGAGTCCTCTTGTGTGTGTGTGTGTGTGTGTGTGTGAGAGAGAGAGAGAGAGTGAGAGAGAGAGAGTCAATCAATCAATCAATCAATCAATCAAGCCAATCAAGATCCTATCGATTCGATAGGATGTTGATTGGTTTGGTTGGTTGATTGATTGATTGATTGATTGATTGATTGTGTGTGTGAGTCTGTGTGTGTGTGTGTGTGTGTGTGTGTGTGTGTGTGAGAGAGAGAGAGAGAGAGAGAGAGAGAGAGAGAGAGGAAGCGGAGAGAGAGGAGAGAGAGAGAGAAAACAGAGGGAGAGAGAGAGAGAGAGAGAGAGAGAGAGAGAGAGAGAGAGAGAGTGTTACACCTTCGACGCCACACGGGTCCTACCGGACCCGACTTAGGGTTAGAGGGACACAGTACGGCCTAAAGGCCCGACCTTGGGGGTACGACAGGCCGTAA